TTTTATTCGTAGAGTTGCTTACAAAATAATGAGTTTCTGATATAAAGGGACATGTTTTGCATCTACTGGACAAACATGGAGCACTTCTTAAACCTGGAGGTACTTCGGCATAAAGTCTGTTTTTAGCTGCTATCTGTGCTAAGGTGGAATTTTTTATGTTTCGTAAAAATCGTTTAGAGTACCCACGCTCTTTCAGTTTTGAGAAAACAATCGTACAGGCTTGGTTGAAATCAGAAGATCTTGTACAAATTCGATGAAATCGTAAAACTTGTGACTTAATTATACCAGAAAAGGTATGTTTTGGGTGAAAGGAGCTCTTGTGCAAGAGTTGATGAGTATCAGTTTCTTTGAAATACACTTTAATATCCAGTTTATTTGTTTCTGCTATGGAATCTCCCTTAAAGACTGTGGTATCGAGAAAGTCTATGCTTTTGTCACTCACGTTTGCGGTTAGTTTGATAGAAGGATGGTGGTTGTTGAGAATTTCAAAGAATTCCCAAAACTGTTCGATAGAATAAGTCCAAACCATAAAAATGTCATCCAAAAAGCGTCCGTAAAAAAGTGGGTCAAATGGACAGAGGGGCAACACTTCACGTTCCCACTCTGCCATGAAAAGGTTTGCGTACGAAGGGGCGAATCGTTTGCCCTTAAGGTAGGCGCGATGTTGACATGCTAGAGGTAGTAAGAAATGATCAATGTATTCTGACACTGCATACGACTCACTACCACAGTCAGATATAATCGGGCGGCCTTTAGGGATTTTATTCTAGATAAACCACTCCTTGGTTGGGTTCTTATGGATTTTAGGCAAAGTGTACAAATGTCTCTCGCGACAATCAGGTTTGGCAGACAGATAGTCATATTGTTTCTGTTTGAGATAACTAGTTTTGACTAAATCGGCAAGAATATTGTTAATCATATTAGCAGTTTCATTGAAAATTGGTTTCGGTAAAATGGCATAATGTTTAGGATTATTCAATTGATTCTCCGCTTCTGAAACGTACTCCTCCCTATTCAGAATGACACAACATGAACCTTTGTCACTCTTTTTAATAACAATGCTCTCGTCTTTCTTAAGTAAGTTTAACGCTTCATGTTCCATTCGTGTGAAATTAGGCTTTTCGTGTGTTATGGAGAGGTTCGCTGTTTGGCTATTCATACTCTCAAATGCTTTCAATATTTCAGGGTGGATGGCGGCCTGAGGGGGTGTCCACGTGGATTTAGGAATAAACATTGTTCTAGCACCACGTGGGGGGTGGTTTCGAAAAAAATATGTGCAGCTAAGATTTCGCTGAAATCGTTCAATGGATGGTCGGAGATAATTTAAGTTGGCTATCTTCGGTGTGGGAATAAACTTAAGTCCACGGTCTAAAATTGAATGCTGAAGGGGTGTGAGAATTTTGCGGCTCAAGTTAACTACAGTTTGGCCTAGCGGTGGCCTCTCAGTATTTTATCTTGAAGCTGGTGTATCCAAAACAAATAAATATTGTTTGCTGGCTCTGGAGACCAATGAAGGTTATCAACTGTTTTTTAGTTATTGCCCTTGACAACTCATCAAAATTTGTTTGTGAACACAAAAGATACAATTTTCATCCGATTTAAATGAAATTTGGTGTGATCATTTATAATGATGAGATATTAGACAAGTTCGAATTTAACGATCTTTCGATGAACGTTTTTGAGTTATTGCCCTTGATTTAAGAAAAAGGCGTCAAAATTTGTTTGTGAACACAATAGAGACTACAGTTTTCATCCGATTTGAATAAAATTTGGTCTGATCATTTAAAATGAAAAGATCTTAGTCAAGATTGAATTTGACGATTTTTCGATCAACGGAATTTGTGTTATTGACGCATCAAAATTTGTAGGCTTGTTATGCGATAGAGGTGACAGTTTAAGTCAGAATTTTATTAAACAATGTGTGTTTGTTTAAATCAACAAAATCTTGCACAAAAAAGATTTTTGGTATGATTTGACACAGATAGGTGACCGCCCTTGATATACTGAAAATGTATCAGGAAAGTAG